ATATCTCCAGAGAGGGAGACTCCACAACCTCCCTGGGCAGCCTGTTTCAGTGCTCCGTCACCCTCAGAGGGAAGAAGTTCTTCCTTATGATCAGACGGAACTTTCTCTGCTTCAGTTTGTGCCCGTTGCCCCTTGTCCTGTCGCTGGGCACCACTGAAAAGAGTCTGGCCTCATCCTCCTGACACCCACCCTTGAGATATTTATAAGCATAAATTAGGAAGGTGTTTTAAGATCTGGATTTATTTCTCACTATCCTACTCGGATTTGATTATTGACAAATTGAACTCCCTTTTCTCCCCAAGTTCAGTCTGTTTTGTCTGTCACAGTAATTGGTGAGTGATCTCTCCCTGTCCTTATCTCGACCCTCAAGCCTTTTATCATGTTTCCTCTCCCCTGTCCAGCTGAGGAGGGGGAGTGATAGACCGGTTTTGGTGGGCACCTGGCATTTATCCAGGCCAAACCAGAACAATGACCAAGAGAAGGAAGGAGACAATGTTAACAAAGACAAAATGAGGCAACTAAAAGATCAAGCCAGGCGGGATTAGAATATACTCACAAAGCAGGAAAGATAAAAATAAGGGTGAATTAGAGGATGACACAAACAAAAAACCAAAAGAACTAGGTTGGTGATGAAAATGTGATAGCCTTCCTTCCCAAGAAGGCTCACAAGCAAGAATCATAGAATGGTTTGGGTTGGAAAGGACCTTAAAGATCACCTAGTTCCAACCCCACTGCCACAACCTGTTCCAGTGCCTCACCACCCTCAGAGTGAAGAACTCCTTTCTTATATCTAATTTAAATTTACCCTCTTTCAGTTTAAAGCCATTACTCCTTTTTCCTATCACTACAAGCCCTTGTAAGAAGTCCCTCTCCAGCTTTCTCGTAGGCCGCTTTCAGGTACAGAAAGGCTGCAATAAGGTCTCTGTGGAGCCTTCTCTTCTGCAAGCTGAACAGCCCCAACTTTCCTGGTAGGAGAGGTGTTCCAGCCCTCTGACCATTTTTGTGGCCCTCCTCTGGACACGCTCCAACAGGTCCATGTCTTTCCTGTGCTGAGGGCCCCAGAGCTGGACATAGGACTTCAGCTGGGGTCTCACCAGAGCAGAGCAGAGGGGCAGAACCCCCTCCCTCGGCCTGCTGGCCGTGCTGCTTGTGATGCAGCCCAGGTCACGGTTGGCCTTCTGGGCTGCGAGCGCCCACTGACGGGTCACGTGGAGCTTCTCATGAACCAGCACTCCCAAGCTCTTCTCCTCAGAGCTGCTCTCAATTCATTCTCTGCCCAGCCTGTATTTGTGCCTGGGATTGCCTTGACCCATGTGCAGGACCTCCATACTTGGCCTTGTTGAACTTCATGAGGTTCGCACAGGCCCACACCTCATGCCTGTTAAGGTCCCTGTGCATGGCATCCCTTCTCTCCAGCATGTCAACCGCACCACTCAGCTTGGCGTTGTCAGCAAACTTGCTGAGGGTACACTCAGTCCCACTGTCCATGTTGCTGACAAAGATGTGAACAGGACCAGTCCCAGGACTGACCCCTGAGGAACGCCACTCGTCACTGCTCTCCACCTGGACATTGAGCCGTTGACCGCAAGTCTTTTGAGTGTGACCATCCAGCCAGTTCCTTATCCATCAAGTGGTCTGTCCATCAAATCCATGTCTCCCCAATTTAAATCCAAGGATGTCATGTGGGATGGTGTCAAAGGCTTTGCACAAGTCCAGGCAGATGACATCATTTGCTCTTCCCTTATCCACCAACACTGTAACCACATCATAGACCACCAAATTTGTCAGGCATGATTTGCCCTTAGTGAAGCCATAGTGGCTGGCCACCGTCACCTCGTTTCCAGAAGGTTCTGCTCCATGATCTTGTCAGGCACAGAGGTGATGCTGACTGGCCTGTAGTTCCCCGGGCCTTCCTTTTTGCCCTTTTTAAAAATGGGGATTATGTTTCCCCTTTTCCAGTCATTGGGAACTTCACCAGACTGCTACAACTTCTCAAAAATGATGGACAGTGGCTTAGCAACTTCATCCGCCAGTTCCCTCAGGACCCGCGGATGCATGTCACCAGGCCCCATGGACTTGTACACCTTCAGGTTCCTTAGGCAGTCTCAAATCTGATCTTCTCCTACAGTGGGTGGTTCTTCATTCTCCCAGACCCTGCCTTTGCCTTCTGTGACTTGGGCGGTGTGGCTGGAGCACTTGCAGGTGAAGACTGAGGCAAAAAAGTCATTCAGTACCTCAGCCTTCTCCATATTGCCGGTAACCAGGTCTCCTGTGTCCTTCCAGAGAGGGCCTGCATTTTCCCTAGTCTTCCTTTTATCACTGACATACCTATAGAGTCTGTCCTTGTTACCCCTGATGTCCCTGGACAGATTTAATTCTGACGTGGCTTTAGCTTTCCTAAACTGCTCCCTGGCTGCTTGGACAATGTTTCTGTATTCCTCCCAGGCTAGCTCTGTTTGAAGTGTCTAAATACCGATCTGAGAACTGTGAACTTTGATTTTATACTGGCTAGGATAAGACTTTTTGTAGAAGTTGCAAAGACAGTGCTGAAGACACAGTTTGCTGAGCTGAAAGGTGGCTGGCAGCCAGTCCTTCAAGAATGACACTGATATTTCCCCATTTACAATATCATTCTACACACTGACAATTAGGCAGGAAACACAGGATGTACTTATACATAAAGTGATTTTTTTTTCTAGAGAATGAATCAATTTCTGAAAACCAACTTTTGCATGTTACTTCTGTTTCTTTTTTTAATAAAATAAATAAATAACTTCATTCAAAAAGAAGGAAGTGATTCCTTTATGCTTTTCAGGAGGAAAGTAAAATTTGGCCTTAAATAGCAGGTCTCAAATTTGCAGATTCCTAGCAAAAATGAATACATTTGCCTACTTGCTCATTAGAAATGAAAAGTGAAGCAAATATGATGAGCATACCAACTACGTCCAGGTAGTCTTCTGCCGTCATAATTCAGGCAAATTTCTCACTGACTCTAAATAGGTAAATGCTTGTTATGCAAACTGCCGTCCTTGAGGGCATGGCTGTATAAATATGAAAATCTGACCCACAGTTAAAACAATTGTTTTACATTTATTCATGCTGATGATGAGGTACCGAGATGACAGTATACATTCATTATTATTATATATATACATTCCACTTTTTGATCTGTTACAAAAAAAACCCTGAGTATTTCAGATTTCTTATATCCAAAATAATATTGCTTTGAAAACAGTGTCCCATCAAATTCCCATTTAGTTAAGTGGAGGTTTAATTACAGTTAATAAACACTTATGTGATATCTTCTGCTGTTTCAGCTGGATATATTAGTACAGATTCTTATTTTAACTTCAATGCAATGCTGTCATTGAAAAGATGAACTTTTCAAAACAGCGCAAGATGAATTGCAGCAGACAGCAAAATAATTTTTTGCTACTTAATAAGGTCAGCCCCTGTAGTATTTTTGAGACAAATTCCATTTGCAACACTGTGCAGTAGATTATCCGTGGCACAAACTGCAATTAGTCTCTCAACCCTCATTGAAAGAACAAGGGAGATCACAAGTGCCTACCTGCTATATGTGACTTTGAGCATCTATCCTGAAGAGCTTTATCTCCAATAAAGGAGCATATCTACTCCTGCAAAGGTCTTTAAGGTCCATTCAGCTAATGGGTGCTATATAAAATTGTTTTAACTTGAATATATATTCATATCAACCTATACAGAAACATAGGAAATGCCATTTTGGATCAGACCAGTCATCTGTGCAGTGGAGCACACCATCCAACAGAGTCAAAACCAAATATTTCAGATGTGCATGCATAAAACTTTGGATAATCTGCTTACAGTAATTTTTTTCCTAATCTAAAGCATGAATATTTATTTCCCTTAAAAATATTCTATCTGAAGTAATAGCGTCCATATTAATTTCCACACTTCTGTTCAAAAAAGCCTCTATCAGATTCACATTCCTTTCATTAATTCTAAATGTGTTGCTTTTGCTTTACATTCAACATCCCAATAATGTTACAGCAAACTAAAACTCAGCCTTCCACATTTTTCCAATGCCTTTTTACATAGAAACATTACTCAAATCCATGTGGTAATCGGAATGCACAATTTTCAGTGCAGCCAAAGTCTTGGACTTTGAAGGTTTCTCAGAATAAAATCAGTCTTCTAAAAGTTTTGAGTTTTAGTATCACCAACAACGTATTTTAAAATGATCTAACAACAAAAAAAGTGTAGGTCTTGGCAACAGTTCAAAATTTGTTCCAAAAAAATTATTTGGTTCTTTCACACCTAGTTAATCAGTGACAAGATAACACCATGGAAGAAAAATCAGAGGATATTAAACACAGCGATATACACACAATTTCTGGCTCAAAAGGTCTTTAAAATGTAGATTACCAAAGGACAGCAGTATACCAGAACTTCACTTAGACTGCAAAGTATATAAAAAAAGCTACCAGGCCTTTATCACCAATCCAGATTTGTCAGTATAATCTCCATTTAAGGATTTTAGTAATCAAGATGGACTAAAAATTACTTGTCAAGGTCTCTGATGACCTACTTTCTATGAGCCCATGAAACCCTCTCCTAAGAGATGAAAGGAGCTGGCATATATCTACAAGATAAACAGAATCCCTTAACTGCGGTATTGCAGCAACGGCAATGCTGCAAGAAACCTTACCTGCATAGAAGATTCCATCACCGATACCACAGTTACAGCATCTTCCAACGTCACAATATCCCTAAACATCAACCGGGCATGAGCTACCAAAAATAAATGAGCATTGAAAGCAAGCGTTACCAAAGTCAAAAAGCAATTTTTTATACTAGAAGGGACAGGACATTTCTTCAAATTTCTTCAAGCACTCGTGTATGGGCCTAACTTAAACATGAATATAATTCTTTTGATTTTAGTGTCAATTTCAACAGGAGTTGGAAGGCTTAGTTTCACTAGCAAAGAATGTAATGTGGCTTCCACATTACAGTTACAGTTCGAATAAAGATGCTTAAAATGCTAGAGTTAAAAAATTTAAAATGCTGGATATCACAACAAAGAGTGTGACATGAAACACCCCTATCTATATAGGTATGTGTCATCACCATAAAGTAAAAAAATTATTCTAACTTTCATCACAGGTCAGAAAAGATTTGATTTCCTCCAACTAGTCTGTCTCACAAACTTAGTATTATTTAAAATGCTTTTTTCTACAACAGCTTCATTTTTTCTTCCTTCCCTTTTTTAAGTCAGCACAACAAAATGAATGTAATGCAAATAATTTACCACATGAAGCTCTCCTCCTAACTGGCTGTGGAAACACACACAGTTCTTATTCAGCAAGAGAAAGGCAGGTTAATTAATATCATCTATGTAATACTTTGAAAGAACAAAATGTTACTAAAAGCCCCAGTCATGTGAACGTTTAAGAATGGAACAAACACTGAATGTGAAAATAACATGGGAATCCCTAAAAGTTAGGAATGTCTTTCACCTAAATAATTTTTCCCCCAAAATGGAGAACAAAATGTAAACACCTGATGCAGGAAGCACTACATTGCTGACTGGCATATAAAAGCATAAAGACCATTTATGACTGTTACACAAAAATAAAGTACACTCTTTTAAATTCATCCTGAAAATATCTGATATGCCATTTTATAAAACAAAATCACGTTAAAAAAGAGACCTACTGCTTCCTTTGTTGTTGATCTTATAAATGAAATATCATCTGAACCCAAGAGTTGGAAATGTTGACATCCTACTGCAAAACACAGACTTGATTATTGATACTTAAAGAAACAAAAATGTGTTATTTTTTATGTTCTATTAATTTTAGGATAGAAGCAAATACTTGACACCTTTCCTCATGCTAAGTAAGGTGGCAACCCAGGACTCAAGGACTCAAAGGAAGTAAAGTAAATCCTGAGATTGCTTTTCATTAAGACACACAACTTCTGAGATTTTTCTCTCAAATGTGATTTCTTCCAGTGGTTTTTAGTTTTTATTACAGGTGTAAGAAGGGCAAAATTAAAACTGATTTTAATAGTCTAAATGTAACACCCTTTCCCACATTCAAAATCTCCAACCCCAACTCTCTTTAGACTAGAAAGATGAAATAGTACAAGAATCACCTATCCCTATCTCTATGGAAAATCTACCACTCTGCTTACCAGTTATAATTATGCTCCTGATCTATTCATTTCATAAAGGTTAATTGTTAGCCTAAAAATAAAATTGCCATGGCCCTACCTTCTGCAAGGCGTATCAAACTCTCTAGCAAGCGAATGGTTGTTCGGGCAGCATTTCTGCAGTCACTCTGACGCTGCATTTGATAGTAGCGTACAAGGATCAGGTTGCTCTCATCAGACAATTTTGGCTGTATACTTTTTATAAGGCAGAAGTAGGTTTTCATCTTTTCCATGCTCCAGAGCTTCTCTGATTTGCTTGGGCAACCTGCGTAACAACTGCCTAGTCAGTAATTCTGTAACAACAGACATCAAGCTTTTTCCTAAGAATTCCTGTTAAATAGGCAGATGACTATAAAGGTCACATTAGCGTATTTTGGGGCATACTGGGTTATCTGCTCACTAGTTCTCAAGGACTTGGTCCAATTCCAGTGTGGAATCTTACACACCATCCAATCCCTCCCCTATCAAAAACCACTGTAAAGTCTCCAGTAACTTCAACAGAACTGCTGTCAGACTCACTGCCCACCAGATGGTACAGTCAGTACTACGTGCTCTAGTATTCCTTAAAATGTAAAATGCTACATGAATGTATGTACCTCCTCTGGCTGCTTCACCTGCTTTGTGGGAGCCAAGAGCCACCTGCCATATTCTGAACATTTTTTGCAGGGAAACATTTTGAGAAGGGAAGGAAGCTAGCTGAAGAAGTTTCCTCTAACCGCTTCTCCCATAATGGGGATCAAAGCCATGTTCCTGAAGTGGATGGAAAAGGGGCTGGTTAAAATCAAATCACACTGCCTTCCCTAATTCCAGAGCACAGACCTCCATGTAGTGAACACTACTGTTCATTCTCTGAGCCCTGCAGCACATGCAGCTCAGATTTGTTCTGTCTGAATTGAGTTTCCCACTAACAGCATGTACAATTGCATTGTGCACAGGATCTGCGTATCAAGCAACGTAAAGGCGCAAGATGGAAACTATCCACTTACTGAGCAGCCTGGGCTGACATCTCTTCTAAATGATCATAGAGTAAAAGTACAGTGTTCTCAGCTCACCCCTGTTAATTAATTAGTGATCGCTATCTTATTCATACTTGAAAAACAACCATTCCGCAGGAAACCACCATAGCAAAAATGTAAACTCTGATTAATATGAAAGACTCAAGAATAACAAACGAAACTGAAAGGTGGGGAAATTAAAAACCAAACCAAACCAAATCAAAACACCACCTTCTAATTTAAAAAGACTACTCGTACCTTTATTCTGCAAGATGAAGGATGAAATGATGCGGTCCCACTCCTCATTCTTTGTATCTAACAATACTAAGACCAGGTCAAATCTGCTCAACAGGGGACTGCCAAGAGCTATGTTGACAGAGACAGACTCATTAGGGTCATAATGGCCTTTTGGGTTTGTTGCTGCCAGGATAGTTGTCCTTGTATTAAGCTTGCACACCAAACTAGAGAAAAGTATGGTAAACATTATGGTTGAATTCAATTGGGTAGGGAAAATGATTCCAAAGTGTTAAAAATTGTCACATTTTTATGTTATAAAGAGCACATCTTAACTTGAAAGACTGCAAGAGCTAACAATATATACAATTATTGTATTAATATATATTACATATACAGCATTTCTCAGTCAGGGTATAGCAACTAGACAGAAAGACAGTGATCAGGATACCAAAAGTAACCAAGCAGTATTGCCATGAGTAATCTCTATATACACCTCAGTCCTGAATGGTGAAAACTATTGTAACTTATCAGAAATAAATATTACTTTGCTGATTCATACAGTATAGGAACAATTTTTTATAATGGAAAGTAACATTTTAGTTTAATTCACATTTTAAGAAAGCAAAATAAAATGTAATATAATTGTACATGTTACGAATATGAACCCAACCAAACAATGATGGCAGCCATTTCAACTGTTTCTCCAGCGAAATAGCCATTTTCCTCTCTTAACCATGCTATCCTGGCACATGTGTTTTTAGATGTGGGGAGAGATTATTTTTATTCTAGTAGTCCAAATGTAATTCTTTCGGTTAAGGCAGCAGCAGAAGTATTCTAGCACTGGTTTGTCACTGAGCTATTTCTAGTCAGCTCCTGAGTAACTGCAGCCTCACGTCCAAAGTTCTGCAACTGACAGGAAGGACGACAGATCTTCTATTAGCTTATACCCAACGCGAAAAAAAACTTATCTCCCATGCACCAAAATAAGACCTTAAATTAAGAAAGTGCTTAACCTATCTGTGCCAAGCTACTACTCAAAAAATCCTCATTCTATGAAGTCCTTAAAAGTGAGCAACGAAGGCTATACGTGCAAGTTAGCAAACTGTGTTTTGGGGTCTACAAAACCCAGCCAACTGCAACAAAGAACCCAGCTAAAATATGTCACTGTCTTACTAAGTAGATAGGATCATGTTGATTCCAAATATCTGCGCCTAGCCGCATGGCTGGCAAAGGCTAGTCATCTCCCAGGTGAAAGCGACATTACTTGTCCACTGTCTAGCAAAGAGGCTAAAGAGAGCTTCAGTGGAGATGCTCAGAACAAAGAAAGGACATGATCGGTTAGAGAAGCTGAGATGATGTGACTGGAGCAAGAGCTGAGTTGAAAGCGACAAGGAGCAACGTGGTGATGTCTTTTAAGCAGTAGAGATTTCAACAATACCAGCCAGGAAATGATATGGGCCTGGAGAAGAGCTGTGTATGACTGACAGAATGAGATATGACCTCAAAGATCAAAGTGGTGGGGGGAGAATAGCAGGTTTGAACACACACTACTTTGAAAAAGAAAGAGAGGAACTGAAAGTAAGCAGGAGTTTATCTTTATGCCATGCCCAACATACAAAATTCAGCAGCCTGGAAATCTCTTGGTCTTCTTTTGTTACCATGTAGTATTACTGGACTTTGGAGAAAAGAAGTCTTGCTTTCTGAGTTCCAGTAAAAAATTCACAAAGTTCCTCTTTTCATATATGATTATTACAACCACTCACAGCAAAGGACAAGAAAAAGAACTCCAAGTCTTCTTAAGAAAGTGCCCTGGCCTACAGTGGTAGATTGAAAACCCAGCAGTGAAGAGGGTATGTATGTATTTATTCTGATCGCTTGCAACATCTGGTCCAGCACACTGTCCTTTGAAAGGCTGACCCAACCCATCTAGTTTAAGAATACTGCTGAGAACAAAACCATTAAGTACAACAAAGAAAACAGATATATTTAATCAGCTTGACAAACCTCCCTCCAACTTGCAAGTACAAGAGAAACAGCTTATGTCGTTTTATCATACGTTAACATGCCACTTACCCTGCCTTTGCGACACTGATGGTTTGCTGTTCCATTGCTTCATGGATACTGGTTCTGTCATGTTCTTTGATACTATTGAACTCATCAATGCAACAAAGTCCTCCATCTGCAAGCACCAGTGCTCCAGCTTCCAAGTTCCACTCCCCGAAGTCCTTCACAGCAGTCACTGTCAGACCTGAAGAATCAATTACTTCACTCAGTCTTTTCCTTAAAATGCAGGAGTGCACTTGAGTGAAAGAAAGGGACCCAGCTCACTTGGCTTGTGCCACAGACAGAAGGCAAAACAGCAGGTCAGCTCCACCACATACCTCTACCACGTAACTCACTTTACACCTACTGGTAAACAACCCCACTAGCATTTGGCAGGTTAGTCTGGATCTGGGGAGCAGATTCCGTTAAGCTTCCCATGTTTGATAGTCATTTGTTTTAGGACTTTGTTAATTGAACAAAAGAGATTAGGGTAAGAAGACTAAATCTGCCAGATCAAACTGTAAATTAGGGCAAATGCAAAGACCGCAAATTTATGGAATGGACCCATTCATCTACTCCTCTCCATTGACTATTAAACCAGACAAATACTTTGGGGCTGCAAAACAAATATTGGAAATAAAATGTTATTTCAAGTGTCTTTTAACTCCTTGTCTCAGGAAGTGGAGACAAATTCTCACTTTAAACTAAGGCAATTAAATGTCTTCATGAGATTTTGAGTTCCTCTAAGCAAAAATGAAAATTCAAAGATTCAGTAAATCTACACATGGTACAACACCGAGAGCATGGCAGGTCAGAAACTCTACACAACTGTGAAAATGGCCACTCATTATCAAGTATGTGCAGCTCTTTTCAAATCTTCTACTCCCTATTTCCCAGCCTCTTCTCTATTTTTAGCCCTCCTTTTTCACTCCAGTGTTCAGCTCAAAAGATCCTAGAATATCCTAGTAATTGACAAGCTGTGACCAGCCTAACATCTCCTGCAATGCTATGGCAAAACCTGCCCAAGAACCGCCCCCCAGCGTCCCTTGGTTCAGGGAGGGGAGGCTGCCGAGGCCTTCTCATCGCTGTGCAGCCCACCACAGTCGCCATTTGTTCCCAAATGGCCAACAAAATGTTATTGGAAGTATATGTTTCCTGGTAGTGTAACGCATACTTTAGCCTGTTGTGAGAAACCTCCTCCATTGTGTCCAGTCTTTCCGGGTTTCCTGGACTCTGCACTGAACAACTCCGGCAGTCAATCATATAGCAGAATTATAAAAAAGCAAAATAATCTCTAGCCGTGTGCCAGACATGTGGAGAATGCTATCAAAAAGTGCAGAAGCAACAGATCAGGCAAGTGTCAGATGATGACACCTCTTTATAAATACAAACCAAAAGCGTCACCTACTTTCCACACCTTGGAGATTTGCTGAAGGCCGAGGGCCTCCGCGCTGCGCCCTCACCCACGGCAGATCTGGCAGCGCCCCGCTCCTGACAGCAGGGCTCGGCCTTTCCGTGCCCGTGGGAAGGCGGCTCCTGCGCACCTTCCTGCTGTGTATTCCCCCGCAGTCAAGGGCTCCCTGCAGACAGGCCTTCTGCACTCCCCCACAGAAGTGCCAGGTATGTAAACCGGTGCTACAGTCACTCCTCCCTATCCCTCCTGCATGGCAGCCACAAGATGGCCTCCTGTACAGACCTCTGGCTGCCACACAAGATGGCTTCCTCTCCGGGCCTGCTGCTGCCGCACGGGATGGCCTTCTCACTGGGCTTCCTGCTGCTGCACAGGGATACGTGTTGCCTCACAGGTTATGACGTTCCCCAAGCCCTTCTTCACAAACACAGGAATGGGATGGCTTCTCAACAGCAACGCCGTGTAAAAGACACACTCTGACCCTCCGCAGCCCCTCCATGGGTGGCCTCTCTAGCAGGGGTGAGGTGGGTTGTGGCAGACCCCAGCCCCTGCAGACAGCCCGTCCGCACCCGGGGTGCCCACCGCCCCGCCATCAAACCCCCCTCTA